ACTCGTCCTCCAGTGTCACTTGGCAAGCACAAAAGCATCTGCTGCCTTGTACTCATATATATCTGCTACATTAAAGACGGGCTGAATCTAAAGATCTTCCGGTAGGTTGATCTTGTAAGCATTTTTGCCATACTACTGCAGAACTTCAAAGGGGCCGATTTTTTTGTTGTGTAGCTTGTGATAAGTTCCCTTAGGAAAACAGGACTTCTTGAGGTAGACCATAACAAGATCACCAGGGTCAAATTGTTTTGCTCGCCTATGAACATCTGTGGCCTCTTTGTAGGAGTTTGTATCTTGTAGTAAGTTCTCGGTGACCTCCTTATGCAGCTCCACAATCCTTTCTGCCATATGTTCAGCTTCCTTGGTCCATAGCATATGGAAGATTAGGAAGATCTAACCATTAATCTAGGAAGCCTTGTATATCCAATGTCAAATGGGGACTTCCCTGTAGATCGGTTCTTCATATGATTATAAGCAAATTCGGCATGTGCAAGCGTGAGATCACATTGCTTCGATCTGTTCCCTCCTAGACAGCGTATTAGGTTGCCCAATGTTCTATTAGTGACTTCCGTTTGTCCGTCGGTCTGTGGATGGCTAGTTGTGCTAAACTTTAAACCTGTATCAAACTTCTTCCAAATGTTTTCCATAAATGACTTAAAAATTTGACATCCCTATCTGAAAGTTGAAACTATTGTTCGAGGAACGCCATCGAGTCTTACAATTTCTCTAAAAAACAAGTTAGCAATTTAGATGGCATCGGAAGTCTTCTTACATGGTAAAAAATGGGACATTTTACTAAAACGGTCAACAACTACTAGCACGGAATCATAGCCTCTTCGGGTTTTTGGGAGACCAAGTATAAAGTCCATCGAAAGGTCTTCCCAGATAGTTTTATTTTTTTATTTTTTTTTTATAAGAAGCAAAGAGAATGCATTCAAATCAAAAGAGCCCAAAAAGGCGAGAACAAAGTTATAGACAAAGTTATATTTTGTGATTGTCCCAAATAGTTTTTGTAATAGGTAAAGGTGAGTATAAAGCTGTATTTTGTGATTGTCCTTTGGCGGTTTGGCATGTGAGACACCGGCCAACAAAGTTATAGACATCTCGTCGTAACTGGGGCCAGAAAAAACGATTTGTGACAAGATCAAGTGTCTTATCACGTCCTAAATGGCCGGCCAGACCGCCACTGTGTAGATCCCGAATCAATGTCTCCCGAAGAGATGTATGGGGAATGCACAAACGGTCCCCTTTGAAAAGAAAGCCATCCACAAGGTGGAAATCTTTGCAATTGACATGCTGATTGCATTGTGTCCAGATGCTATGAAAATCGGTGTCATGCTCATAAGATGTTGGCAGATGATCAAATGCTATTATTTGACCTGCAAGAAGAGTTAGAAGACTAGCTTTCTGCTCAAAGCATCAGCCACTTTGTTAGTAATACCTGTTTGGTCTTTTATTACAAAATCAAACTTTTGAATAAAGGAAATCCAATGAGCATGCATCCGATTGATTGTTTTTTGAGTTTGTATATATTTAAGAGAGAAATGATCTGTATAAAGGATAAATTCTTTTCCAATCAAATAATGCTCCCATTGTTTTAAGGCTCGAATTAATGCATATAATATTTAGCCGAGTTTATATATAGTTAATGCTGTTCTAGGATTTGAAAAAGAGCATAGAGGTGCTGCAAATGTTCATATTCTGACTTACTATATACAAGTATATCATCAAAGTAAACGACAATAAAAATATTAAGGAAAGGATGTAAAACCTGGTTCATTAGTCGCATGAACGTACTTGGTGCGTTTGATAATCCGAATGGCATGACTAGCCATTCAAAAAGTCCCACATTGGTTTTAAATGTCGTTTTCCACTCATCTTCGGGTCTAATTCTAATTTGATGATATCCGCTTTTAAGATCGACCTTTGAAAATACCTGAGCCCCACTTAGTTGATCTAAAAGATCATATAATCTAGGTATGGGAAAACGGTATTTTATAGTAAACTTGTTGATAGCACGTCTATCAACACACATCCGCCAAGATCCATCCTTCTTAGGAGCTAATAAAACGGGAACAACGCAAGGTCTAAGGCTTGGCTGAATATGCCCCTTTCGAAGGAGATCCTGAATTTGATCATGCAAAATTTGATACTCCTTTGGACTCATTCGATAGTGAGGTAAGTGTGGGAGAGAGGCCCCCGGAACAAGGTTGATACAATCTTGGATATCTCGTAAAGGTGGTAGACCCGAAGGGTCTTTGGTAAGAGAGGAAAATTCAGACAGTAACAGTTGGACCTCTGGGTGAGTAGTAGGTTGTTGTGCTCAGCTATGTCTCCCTTATTAACCAAAGCTACCACCAGAGGGTCGTCTCTCTATAAGAAGGTTTTTCCATTAATAAGTGTAAACAATTGTGTGGTTGATGTAGAAGGGTCCTTTCGTAGTTTAGGATCCGAGGAGGATGGTAAAAGTATAATTTTTCTACCCATCCAATGAAATTCATATGTATTTTCTCGTCCCCAATGAATTGCTTGAAGATCAAATTGCCAAGGACGTCTAAGAAGGATATGGCAAGCATCCATGTCTAAGACGTCACAAACAATTTGATCTTTGTAGTGGTTCTCAATACTTAAAGGTACGGTACAAACTGGATTTATAGGTGTTTCGCCAC